TTTGAACTGCCGACCCTTGGGTTAGCAGCCAAGCTCTTCACCACTGTGCCACCAGGGCTCCAAGGAAGACACAGTCAGTGAGAAATTCTCTACAAAGGGAGGTTAGCTGATATTGCTGTTGTTGTTTAATTTGAAATTTAAGTAGTTGCTCCTGCTGTGCTGTCATCCTAAGCCTTTAAGGAAAGTCTGTTCCACATGGTAGATATGTGTTAGTGGAGCCTGGGGAGAGTGAAGAGGAACATAATGAAGGACAGCAATTGCAGGAAATGAGATGCAAAGGGTTGGCCAGAAAACAGGAGAGAACCCTAGTAGATGAAGTTTCGAGAACTCCAAAGGTGTAGGGACCTGGTAAAGGGAACAGTAGGGGTAGGGAACGTCAGTGTTCCTACTATAGGAACACATATTAAAGAGTAAAGAGCAGAGTGATTCAGAAACCTGGACAATGTGGAACGGTGAAGTGGGTAATACGTGGTTAAATTATTAACTCCTTTTTACTGAAGCGGTAGGAGATTAACAACCTGCCTGATGTCACAGAACTAGTAAGGCACATTGCTCTCAGGTTTGAAAGCCTACCTTCTCTTTACCACACTCCACTCTCTCTCCAAGCAATAATAGCAAATATTTATTGAGCCCTTAGTATATGCCCAGCCCCGTGCTATGCCGAGTTAAATATTATTATTCTCTTCATTTTATAGCGGAGGAAACTAAAGTTTAGAGAGATTATTTAACTTGGTAAATATCACAGAGCAAACAAAAGGTAGAGCCAGGATTTAATTATAGGCTTTTCTAACTTCAAGTCCCGTTCTTAACCACTAGCTATACAGCTTAGCTTGGAATGATATACACGGAGCGTGGTAACACTGGTGACCACCTGCTGACTAGATGCTATTCTGGGTTACTCATATTAACAAATTAATTTCTTGGGGAAGTGAGTCAGTGATGTAGAGAGGAGAAGCTTGTAACAAAAAAGCTATCACTGACATAATCAGAGAGCAAATTGTAAAGGATAAGTTACGCTAGTCACCTTGACAAATATTCAGAACTGAATAGTGCCAAAATTAGGGGAAATCTAGCTCTTTCCAGATGAATCCCAGAGAAAAAAATGATGACTCACATGCATGAAAGTCCTTTAAAAGCATCTTTTTATTTGCTGTAAGAATATAATCTGGCATTTCTATACAATCCATTATGCAAAAATCGTGGTAGGCATTTTACAAACAGTGCGGAATCTTAACATCTGTATGTACATTTGCTCAATCAAAAGATTAGCAAAGCCTGAAAAATAACATCTCGGGACAAAAGAATACAGAAGGAACCAACTCTCTTCCTCCGGATCATGGCTTCCAACACCAAGAAGCACAGCCAGAGAAAACTTTTAAGACTGAAGGTATTGAGAGATAGATAAGTAACATCATTTGTGGGTTGATCCATTGGGTAAGAAGGAGGCCACTATTCTATGGGCAGTTTCACTGTGTGGTCAAATGGTTCTGTGCAGCAGGCACTAAAGTATCTACAAATCAGTAGAAAGGACCTGTTGGGTTAAGCTAATTCAGGTGGAATAGACACTACAAGGCTGCAAAGGAATCTTCTTGCCCAGGCACCAGGCAGGGTGCTAAGAGTTACAATTGCTTCCCTAACAAAAAGTCACAGTGATTGTTTTGTATAGTAATTAAATGTCCCTGAAATACCATCATAAAGTACATTATACATAAATTTCTCAGTAGCATGATGGGCACTAAACTCTGGAGCTGGCTCGACTTGCATAACTGTGGTTTATTGGAAATGAGATGTGGGGAAGGAGAGATGGAGAGGACGCTAAATCCTTTATGCTCAATCCCCAAAGAGTGTGGCCATGAAGGCCCAGCTTCCTCTTTGTGGGAGTGTCCTGGAGAACCGGTTTTAGATGCAGAGGGCTGGTAGCTACATCGCTTGTTCAACTATTACTCGCCAGGTTCAGCACTAGCACTCAGAACCTGCGTTAACATTAATTTTCACCACCAAATGCAGAATGAGTATTATGAATCCACTTTTTCGTCAGGCAAACTGAGGCTTTTAAAAATTATGCCATTAGATTGAGAACCTGCAACTAGTTATTAATGGGACAAAGATTAGAGATCAGACCTATTTGACAATAAACCTAAATATTTCACTGCACCAGGCTGTTTCTGAAGGGACCAAAGGCTATTTCTGGCCTTGAACTTTGCCATTTCTGCAATTAGGTCTCAAAGGAAAAACTCTAGGGAGAGACACAGAAAGTCTACAAATGCCACCATGGAGAGAAGTGAGTTACAGAACCTTCTATTCCACCAACAGCTCATTCCAACCCAATGAGAGCATTGGGATTCCAAAGGGCCTTGAGTGTGTGGTCTATTGGAAAAATGATCTGAAATTTCACTTAAGGGCATCTCCAACCTTATGCGGAAAATACGAGAATAAGGAATTTGGACTAGGTTCAGGATTTTACGTCCTCCTGCCCCAGGACCACAAGACCAAATCGACATCTCCTGGGTGAGTCTCTGAGGCACCACCATTCCTTTGATTTCTAGCATGGTCTACTGCAGGTAAAAGTGAAGGATTAGAGGAAAGCTGAGTCAAAATGCATCCCCTGCTAACTCTCAAAGCCTTAAAAGTGCAACGAGGCTGTTGGGCATGAGGTACATCATGAGAACCAAAAAGGGTCTTTTTTTTCTTTTTTTTACTTGGATCTGCTTTGTAAAGTCTGAGTTCAAGAAATATCCACGAACACAACTCATCAGTCTTCCTTTCCCTGTAAGGTTGTTACAGTCAGAAGTACACTTTTGTTTTGAATGCATTTACTTTGAAAGTTACACATTTGCTCAAATTTTAAATAGGTGTATTTAAAATTGGAAAAGATGTTCTTAGAAGACATTTTTTCACTATGATGATTATTAAACTAATATTTTTTAATGAGGCAAGTCAACTTCCAGAGATGGAAATAGTGACAATGGAAGGAATTCTATTTCTTCTGAACAGGTTATATAATTTTAATTTGGATTCAATTTAGACTTTGAAAAAGCTATCTATGCCAGTAAAAGCTACATTAGACAACCTTCTTACTGGTTTGCTGCTGGACTCTGGATTGACCCCAAATCCAGTGGTTAATGAGTTTACAACATAACAACAAAGGGGGGACTCACCACATTGCCTTGGTGGAGTCAACCATGATAGTACCGGCCCCAAAGGCCTCCAAGGGTCTAGGAGGCATCCCTGGAGTCACTGGTGAGAGCTGAGAAGCAGATAGGTAGGTCTCTCCTTCACTCCTTCTCTTCTTTCCCTTTGACCTATTTTCTGTTCCAGTTATGTGAGATGTTCTGAATCTTTTTCATTTTGATCCTCTGGTCCAACATCTTGTACCTCACAGGGTGTTCGTCAGTTTTCTTTGGAACTGAAGGTGCATAGGAGCTAGATGCGTAAGCAGGGCGTTTAAAATGGCGTAAAGGAGGCTTGATGACTGGAGGTCATGGAAAGGAAGACAGACGACTGTTAGCCTCACTAATGACATATCCTTTAAACCCATTGCTATCGGACTCATAGTGATCCTACAGGACAGAGCAGAACTGCCCCATAGGGTTTCTAAGGAGTGGCTGGTGGACTCAAACTGCCAACATTTTGGTTGGCAGTCGAGCTCTTAACCACTGCGCAACCAGGGCTCCCACTAATGACATGGCATAATAGAAATACTGTAGGCAACTTCCTAGTCCCCAGACCTGTCTGTTTCCTCCAAAACCTGGAAACAAATGGGGTTGGATTCCCGTTGAGAACCTTATTGCAGATAGATGAATAAACACATTGTCATCTTGATCACTCACTTAAAATAAATAAAGACAAGAAATCCCTAAAGATAGACAGCATTGACCCCAGCATGTGAAGGTGGTTTGATAACAAATGGATGGGATTATGGAAGCGAGAGGGAGCACTGGGGTCATTCTGGGGAAGAGGAAGGCAAACATGGGTAGGGTGAGCCATATCATTAACCAGCATTTAGCATTGTATATAAGTTTTTAAGTTTGGAAAGTGGCATGTAAGCCTGAAGTGCTAAGAAACACACACACACGTCATTTTAAAAATATTTACAAAACATGTATCTGATAAAGGTCTTCTATCAGATATATTCAAAGAACACTTAAAACTCAACAGTAAGGAAATAAGCCAGTTACAAAATGGCAAAAGATCTGAACAGACTCCTCACCAAAAAAGATATACAGATGGCAAATAAGCATATGAAAAGATGCTCAATATCATTTGTCATTAGGGAATTGTAAATTAAAACAACAAGGAGATATCACTACACACCTATTCCAAAAAAAAAAAACCATTGTCGCGTAGTCAATCCCGACTCATAACAACCCTATAGGACAGAGTAGAACTGTCCCATAGGGTTTCCAAGGAGTGGCTGGTGGATTCAAACTGCCAACCTTTTGGTTAGCAGCCGAACGCTTAACCACTGAGCCACCAGAGCTCCTCATATACCTATTAGAATGGCTAAAATCCAAAACAATGACAATACCAAATTCTGGGGAGGATGCAAAACAACAGGCTCTCTCATTCATTGCTGCTGGGAAGGCAAAATGGTCCAACCACTTGGGAAGTGACAGTCTGACAGTGTCTTACAAAGCTAAACATAACATAGTCTTACCATATGATCCAGATATTGTGCTCCAAGTAGTTACACGACTGATTTAAAAACGTATGTCCACACAAAAACTTGCACATTAATTTTTACAGAAGCTTTACTTATAGTCACCAAACTAGAAGCAATCAAGATGTCCTTCAATAGGTGGATGGATAAACAAACTGTCATACAGCCATACAATGGAATATTATTCAGTGATAAAAAGTAAATGAGCTATGAAGCCACACAAAGACTTCAACGCATCTTAAATGCGTATTGCTAAACGAAAGAAGCCCGTCTGTAAAGGCTATATACTGTATAATCCCAACTATATGACATTCTGGAAAGGTAAAACGGTAGAGATGATTTAAAAAACTAAGAAAAAAAAAAGAGATTGTCAGAGATTCAGGGGCAGTAAGGAGGGATGAATAAGTGAAGCACAGGAGGTTTTTAGGGTGGTGAAAGTATTCTGTATGATATTGTAAAGGTGGATACATGATATTATGCATTTGTCAAAACTCATAGGACTTGAAAGCACAAAGACTGAACTTTAATGTATAAAATTTTTTTTTAATTATATGCAGAAGGTTGGGTATTCCAGGATGGAATGTAGAATGTATCGAAACAAGCTAACTGCATTACAAATGTAGGAGCAACCTCACTGAAAAGGGTGTGGAAAAAAAGTCTGACCTGAGCAACTTCAGAAACAAGTGATGTCTGTAACCCTAAAGGCCAAGGAAGCTGTACAGAAGCAGTGTGTTCCAGTTGATAAATTTGTTTCCCAAGGGGGTTCAAGTTAGTAATTCTGATACCACTATATATATATACTGGAATTGAACAACTAAGTATAATGAACGGCAGATGGTGGGAGCCAGATATCTTACTGTTGGAGTGGGAGTTTATAAATAATCAAGGGGAAGAGGCTAGAATGAGCCATGTGATCATGGGTTAGAGTTGGAGACATCAGTATAGACTCACATTTAGCTTACCAAATGGTTACACATGGAAATATTTATAGCTACCTATATATACATGGGTTAGTACACACACACACACACACACACACACACACACACACACACATATTTCCTTACTATAACAGCTGAGAGGCTCTAGAAGCAATGACACCAGATCTTGGTTTAGTAACATTCTACAGTTAAAAGAAACCACGGTTCTACCTATGACACAGTTCTACTCTGTCCTACAGGGTCACTATGAGTTGGAATCAATGCAACGGCACACAACACCAACAACAACATAGACTGCATACGCTAGTGTGATGATTACCATATTATTTGTGAAAAAAGCATCCCCATGACTCTTTCATTAAAAATATGAATTTGCAAATACCTTTTAATACTCTGGTGAAAATTTTGTTGAAGAAACCCTTGAGGTACATACCTTGTGTGATTTCAGAGAAGAGATTCCTTTCTGAGAAGGTAATTGCGCATTTGACTTTACATACTCAGAATAAAGGTAGAAGAAACCAGTTCAAAGCAAAACAAAACAAAACAAAACAAAAACCAGGGTTCTAAAGAAATGGCTGATTTTAGGACCATGGCAGAAAATATACAAGATGAGCTCAGAGCGTCTTGTATTTCCAGAAAATAAGAAAGTGATTGAAAATAAAACTAAGAAAAAACCATAATGATGGAACAGAGGACCCAACTGTAAGCTCCCCCAATGAGCAAAGCTGGAACAATTTGAGCAACAAAATAAATAAAGTAGAATTGGCTTATAGAGCAAAATGTAAAATAAATATCCACAAGTTCATACTGCTATAAATAAATGATTGAATAAATAAATAATTGTGGGAGAATAGAAAAATATTCCTGCAGAAGAATTCCAAATAATTTATAAATGCCCCACCCTCAAGGAGGTGAAGCATAACTCCCTACTCCTTAAGCGTGGGCTGCACATAGTGACTCCTTCTGAAGAGCACAGTATGGAAAGGGGGGACAAGAGTAGCTTTCTAGCGGAGAAACCTGACGAACACTACCTCGGTCAGGAGATCACGGTTAACATCATTTGTGATATGTCATGTTGATAGTATGTGCCCTTGAGATGATGTAATGAAAACAGTACTTTGTGGTCTTCCTCCCAAAAAGCATCACCCCAATCTAATCATGAAAAAACATCATAAAAATTACAGTTAACGGCCATCCTACAAAATACCTCACCAATTCTCAAAACTGTCAGTCATCAAAAACGTAAGGGAAGTCTGTGAAACTCTCACAGCCAAGAAGAGGCAACGGAAACCTGATCAATAGAATGTGGTATCCTGAGTAGGATCCTGGAGCAGAAAAAGACACTAGGTAAAATCTAAGGTTATTTGAATACAGTATAGACTTTAGTGAGTAATAGTAGTAGTAATAATAATAGTAATGTACATCACCTAACCTGCAGGTCTACAAACAGAAGAAGGTTAAGTACTGACAGATTCTCCCCCTTCCTCACCCTCACCCATCCTACCTGCCCTACTTCTTCCCCTTCTTCATTCTGTTGAAAAGTGCTCAGCCAGTGAGACAACTTAAAAGTGAAGAAAAATATAAGCACGTTAAATGATAATAAAAAAACAGGTTGGAGATAATGGTCAGGAAAAAGGTGTGAAGGAGCTGAGCTGGTGCCCAGCTGGTGCCTCAAATGTTAGCTGCCAAGGGTCAGAAGAATGTGTGATGCACAAGTGAGTCAGCGGAAGGGTCAGGCTGGGGAGGCAGATCTGTTAGATCACTGAGACTATGCTTGTGAAAACAGCCCTTCCAGTAACAGGAAATGTCACGGTGTTTACAATCGTAGCAAAAGATTAGAAACAACTTAAATGTACAATCATTGGGAATTGGTTAAAAAAATCCTGGTATATTCTTGAAATATACTACTGATGCTACAGAAAAACCTGCCAAAGCTGGAACCTGTGTAAGGCAGAAACCCTGTCAGGGAAGGAAAACTCAAAATATTTTCCACTAATACAGAGGGATAGGAAAGTGGTAAGACGGCACCCTGTCAAAGGTGGAAAACTCACAAGACCCAGAAAAACAAGGCGGTCCCATCAAGTTCAGGTTCTCAGAGGTTTCACTGTATAAAAAAATGATCTATATGTCTATTTATTAACATAAATAGAGGTTCAGGTAATAACATTAAGTGAAAAAAGGAGTAGATATAATCTAATCTTATTATAAAAATATATCAATATGTGAATACAGAAATCTGGAAAAACGCAGTTAAATCATAGCAGTGGTTCTTTCTCAGTAGTATAAACATTGTTGATATTTCATTTCTTTTTGGTTGTTTACATTGTCTAATTTTTCTATTACAATATTAATTTTAAAAAAGGTAACATACTACAAAAATTTCTTCTATAGAGTCATATATCAGAGCTATGCTACAAAATCATACACAATAGAAAATCGGTAAAACTGCATTCACTTTGGGTTGTAGTATGAGACATCTCGGAGAGCCCATAACTAAGTACACTTTTCACAGCCTACAGATTAACAGTCATTCATTAACTTCTTAGAGCACCTACTGTGTAAAGTCGAAATCCCTACCTTTATGGACTTCCATGCTAGCAACATCCTCTGAAATGTGTGACTTACTTACAGAAAAGTGTTCAAGTACAATAAGCGACCTTATTACTACAAGTTCCCTAATACCCACATCAACTTTGGCTTTTGAGTTAGCCGAGGAGTCCCTGGGTGGCGCTAATGGTTGAATGCTCCACTACGAGCTAAAAATTAGGTGGTTCAAAGCCTTCCAGAGGTACCTCAGAAGACAGGCCTGGTGATCTGCCTCCAAAAGAGCAGAGTCATTGAAAACCCTATGGAGCAGTTCTACTCTGCACA